GGCAAACCTGTGAATGAAACGTCTATAGTAGCTACAAAGTCCAATAAATGACCTCATATCTGTCTGCGTCACAGGCAGTGGCCATTCTTTCACTGCTTTCACCTTTTCTGGGTCTGTTGATATGCCATCTCCTGAAACAATGTAACCCAGGAATAACACTTGTTTTCTAAATAGATGACATTTCTTGGCCTTGAGTTTTAGTCCTGCCTGACGTAGTCTGTCGAACACTTTTTCCAAGTTGACTATTGCTTCATGAAACGTTTTCCCTAAAACAATGATGTCATCAATGTACACCAGGCATATTTCCCAATGAAGCTTAGCCAGCACTGTCTCCATCAGGCGTTCAAATGTCGCTGGACTGTTGCAAAGTCCAAACGGCATCACGTTGAAATGGTAAAACCCACTTCTGGTTACAAATGCAGTCTTTTGCTTATCTGCTTCGTCCATTTCAACCTGCCAGTATCCCGAAAATAAGTCCAGTGTTGAGAACCACTTTGCTCCCGACAATCTGTCCAGTGATTCATCTACCCGGGGCAATGGGTATGCGTCCTTTATCGTTACCTTGTTCAGGGCACGATAGTCCACACAGAACCTTAAACTGCCGTCTTTCTTCTGTACCAAGACTACGCCCGATGCCCACGGACTAGACGATGGTTCTATAATTCCTCTGTCTAACATACTTTGGACCTGCTGATTAACTTCCTCTGCTGCATGGTGTGGAAATCGCCTTGGGGGTTGTTTAATAGGCCTTGTATTCTGAGTGTCTATTGTATGCTTCACCATACTCGTTCTTCCCAAATCATCGTCTGATTTGGCAAACAAATCCTGTGACCTCAATAAGAGTTGCTTGACCTGCTCTGCCTGCTCTGGAGCCAAGTCCTTTCTAACTTCATTGTAGAGTTGCACAAGATGTTCTGGTAAATCTTGATATTTAAAACAGCATGTATCATCAACCACGTCCTGGTCAAGTACTCTCTCAGCTGGACTGATTTGTCCAATGTGTGTAGCACGATACACTTTCACAGCATGATCCGATGGATTGAGTAAGCGTACAGGAACAGTCTTCTGTGCCTTGACAACGGCCCGAGCTACCAGAGCCTTTCCTGTCTTCGTAAACTTCTCACAAGACTCCATGATACAGGCTTCACCACGAAGTTGTTCATTGTCAGGAACTTGCACTATTCCCTCACAAATTATCTCTGATCTTGGCGCTATACTGAGCGTCTCCTTCATACTGACTCGGTAGCATCCCAAATTACCTTGCCATGATAATGAACTGTCATTCCGACCAATTCTCATCTTTCCTTGCGCACAATCAATAATGCTTTTGCTTTCTTTCAGGAAGTCTAAGCCTATGATTCCATCTAGCTGCATGTCAACCACAACCGCTGTACACTCACAACTGTAATAGTCTATAGTTATGCGAAAACTTCCTTTCCCTACTACTGCCAAGGGTAGGTCATTGGCTCCAAGTATATCCCGCGTCATTGGTTGAAGATCTAGCCGGTTCCGGTCATTGATAGCTTTGTATGTTTGCTTTGATACTAATGACACAGTAGCACCTGTGTCTATCAGGAATTTTGCCTGAACTCCATTGATATCCAAGTGTACAAAAAGTCCTGCCTCTGCACCTTTACATCCTTGTACACATTTCAAGTGACTGGCGTTTGATGTTTTATCTGTCGTGTCCTTTGCTATCATTGCCAAATACTTGGGACATTTCCTTTTCATGTGACCCTCTTCCTTACAGAAGTAACACTGTATACTGTAGCGTCCTTTCTGTGCATCATATGGTTGCTTGTTTTGGTCCTTTTTACTATTTCCCTGTGTATCTCTCTTCGTTGCTTTTAAATCATGCATTTCTTCTTCAAGTTTCTTAATAGACTTTTGTAGGGACCCAAGCATGGTTGTCAGATTCTCCATAGCCTTATTCCCTTGACTGGTATCGTGATAAACGTTCTCACCAGAGGCAGACCTAACATACTTCTTTTCGTCCCTTCTGTCCCTTTCCACCTTACAGAACGACTCTATCTCAACTGCTAATCCAACAGCCTCGTTCAAAGTCTTTGGTCTTGACTGCTTAATTCTCAGTCTCATATCGAAATCTGGTAAAGCGTCAATGAAGTGATCCTTAGCCATCATCTCTGCAACATCTCTCGTTACTGTAGGGTACGCCAGATATGTCAATCGTTTGATTCCTTCGCCTAATTCAGGAATTGTCTCTGATGGGCCTAATCTCTTTTCCTTTAGCATTGAGCGATACAACTCCGTTTGGTTTGTCGGAGCAAACCGCGCCTCCAGTGCTGCTGTCAATAGTGTATATTGACCTGGCTCGTCCTTTGACATATTCCCTAGCACTGTCTGTGCATGTCCCCTCAATGATGCAGCAAGATATAACCCTTTTTGTGACTCGGTCCAACGATTGATTTTACTGCATGCCTCAAAATGTGCCTGATAATCCAGCCAGGACCCTGTCCCATCATATGTTGCCGGTTTCATATAATTAGACATTGGCTTCTGCATCGTAGCTAAAGCTTCATCATACATCCCCTGATCCTGGTAATTTGATTTCTTTTGCCGCACAGTAACACGTTCATCGTTGAAATCATGTCCTTCTATCATGGGAATATCATGTGTCACCCTCCTCGGACTATAGCAAGTCTCTCCGTAGTTCTGATCCCTCTCATGTACAATATCCCTGTTTCTTTCACTGCGTCTCTGAGACATACGTCCAATTTCATCAGGAGTACGGGTGTGCATGGGAGTATCATCAAACCTTACTGATGGACGCCGGTCTGTAACATCTCCCCTAGTATCTTTATGACCAACAATATCACTAGAACGCCGTGTAGTTCCTAAACCAGAGTCCCTAGGTCTATCACCTTCTACCTGTTTAACGATACTGGACAAAGGGGTTGATTGTGATTTGAGCCTAATACTATTTTCCCTTAACGTTGCTATTTTCTCCTCCAAATCACTTATCTCGCTGTCCAAGTCATTCATTGTGAACAACTGATCCTATTATTTCAAAGAATGTAAAATTAAACTACCAACACACTATAATGCCTTTATAGATAAATATATAAAACTATCACAACAGTGACTGGATCCCACTACGCTGCCACCAAAATTAATGTAACGGATGCGTGCCTACAGTTCGTTACCAAGTTCTTTCTTGGACCCAGTAATTGTTGTAACAAACAAGTGCCGACAATATATACAAAATAACGGCCGTCTTTCTGACTCAAATAACTATTACCTAATCTACACCCGGTAGATATTTTACATTAATATACCTCTAACACTAATATAGTCAAAAAGCCAACTAAAACAACTGTATCACAATATATCCGTCACCCTGTATCAACAGTAAATAGCCCCTTACTGCGACACCCGTGACTGTGTACACCCTTTACCGCGACACACCTTGACCACGTCACCCTTTACCGCGACTGCCGTTTGACCAAGTCACCCTATAGCTAGCCACTATAAAACCTATGCCTTGGTAAACCCTGTGTCTTGGTACCTGACACCCTGTATCAACAGTACGTCGCCCTGTACTGTGATACCCTGTGACTATGCACACTATACTGTAACACAATTTATTTTGACCATGTACTATAAAGGAATACAGTGGAACCCTAGCTTATGCAGCTAGGCCCAAACTTATACAGCTTGGTCACTGATTACCTTTTTAGAGTTGTTCCTTCTTCTTCGACCGCCAGAGCAAGAGAAGCTTTTCATCTGATGGAACCTCTATTTATATACCTAGCCATCCAATGAAATGCCTTCTTTCATTAGCCAATCAAAACTACTCTTACTTCCTAATTACAAAGAAATAACTAAAGCAAGTCTATACTAACGATCATTTATTGAACAATGTAATTAACAAAGAATCAACCGCTTCAATAAGATAAAAAAAATAGTAGTATATTCGCCAGCTTTCTACAAAGGGACTTACATGTATGTCAGTGATTTTAAGCAAAAACAAATTACTGAATTGAGGAGAGAGCCGATGTAGATTTAATGTGTTTCATGATTGCATCCAAGAAATTATCCGTGAAAGTGACACTTTAAATGACATCCGACTGAACATCACTCGTGGTACGTGTACACATGTCGCACACCTTTAACATACATGTGTAGACATATACCTGTTCTCCCTATCCGGGTATCGACTCACCTGTAATCAGTTAGACTGGCTACCCAGCCCCTAAGTTTTTATGAAGAATTTCTCAACTGCATTTTTACTACTATAGCTTATCTCACCCTAGTTTAGAACTTAAGAATCAGGCATCCAAGTGCTCAAAAGTATTAGAGTTCTTTTTTTTTCTAAATAATTAATCTAATTCCGTGACTATCTATATGATATTCTAGAATCGGGGGCCAGTCGATATGCAAAATTCGAATATAAAAAAAGCACGTCCCTTAATATTCCATGTAAAATTATGATGAAAAGATCTATTGTGAGTGTAATATAACTAAATTAACCCTACTAGTGAGGAGTAGTGATGTTTTGTTTAACAAAAACAAAGTTTCTCTAGTTATTTGTAACTGGGTAACCTATTGATTGAATTAACTTATGTTGTATCCTTTTACGCAATTTAATTCACTTTCCGTTATCTTTTTAAATATTTTACCTGAACGTTTTCATTTCACATAGTCGAGCTTATCTAGTTCATATTTAAGCTGTCTTTTACAGAAACGACAAATGGCGATCGTTTTAGATAAAATTTCTTACGAAAACTGAAATTCAAGTTGAAGTCAATTCATATTTGGTTCACTTGGGGCACTATTGTTCGTTAAATTACTTGAAGAAAGTAACATCTATTTATATTATTTTACAACATCCAAATACTGTAAAACGCATCGAATTTCTTAAAATTGTTGCCTCATATTCTTAATATTTTAAATTGTTGTATGCTATTTGTTTATTGCTAATAATTTTCTCAAAAATATGTCTTGTTTTGAATTACGACTAACGGAAATTAGAACTTGATTATTGTTGTCGTAGTAACGCCTCCATTTTAGTCCAATATGGAGGGGAAAATGGCAATGGTTCGCACTCTACCGCCGCTTGCGGGGTAAGCTTTCAAAAAATGAGTGTAACAACAATGGTGTGTCATAACTGAGTTTCCACTTTACCAATACGTGATCAAATACTTGCGATCGTGCGACATTTTGTTCGAAAAACTGTACAATTCTAATTGTCAAACTGTTCTATGTCCCACTCGATCATATGATTTACCTGCACGTTTAGTCGATACTGTACTATGCTATAAAATATAGCGAGCCCTTGTCATGATCTTACACAGAATGTGTATTATTTAATCTTCAATTGCATGTCGTCATCAGTGATAATGTAGGAACGGATTTGCAAAGATACAGCACGGCAAATTTTGTAACATCATTCAATAAACACACAAGTCTCAAACATCATACATACAATGTATAATTCAATGTATCATTGCTGAGTAAAGCATTTGATATAGCTGAATCCAGACTAATACAATCTAAGCTGTTACAATCAATATATCTATCAGGTGATAGTACTCAAAATTGGTGAAGGCGAGTTTGTTATCGGCTGCACCACCTGACCAACCATGTTATGAGGACACATTTATCTAATCACTTTACATTGGTGACATAACTAAGAACAGTAAAAGAACGGCTTCTGACATTATTGTAGTTTAGTTTGTACACTTGCTTTTTATGTTCATGATTATTTTTTGAAATTGTAAATGATTTCTGTTTTAAAGGAGAGGAGGGCCTATTGGACCTATGTCCCCTCGGATGGGTCCTAAATTTGATGGATTAACGGGACCAAGTTACAAACTGGACAACAAGACATATCCCCTGCCAAACCCAAAAGCATTAAAGGTACCATGATATCCATTGTTATTATGAATTACAGCTGCATGTCATTCTGATTTTAAAACATGTGAAACTTCTTAAGGTTGTTCAATATCTTGAAAGATAAACATAATATCAAATATTGTTTGGCATTGCATGTTGCTGATGTTATTAGATACAAAATTTACCACCGTCTCTCATTGTCATAGAGGTAGTTAATATACATGTATATACTGTGCACATTCCAGTCTTTCAAATATTACACTCATATTACAAAGAAACAGCACATTTCATGTTAATCAAAGATCAATCTGTGATTGTTTACATTGTAGCCGTATGCTGATACTATAGCTGGCGCAATAGATACATGGCCGGCTCATGCTAGTGGACACAACGTGCCACGTACAACACTAGTGCTCACAAAGAACAAAAATCTGGTGTTATATGATGAGGATTTAATGGGAAAACCGCAGATTATTCCAAAACCACGCTTCCTTGAACAGCTAGAGGGCTACCTGAAAACAGAACTTAAGGCTCTTGGAGTTACCCAAGTCCTGCCTAATGACCTTAGACTGCAGGTAACATTTTTGGGACCATTTTATTTATGAAATGGAAAATTATATTTTCACTTTAATAACAAAACATGGTTTGTAGTTATTTTATATATATTGAGTCCTGATGGATATTGTTTATTTTCCATACAGGGGTGGTAGAATATGAAATTCTTGGTTTGCTCAGCTGACAAGTGGAAAAAAGGCATTTATTAAGGAAAATCCTATGTATAGTTGCAATATTATTGTATCATATTGATAACTAGAAATGCTCTCAAGGCCATCATTTTTTTTTTTTTTTTACATTATCTGTATTGTATGGATAACACTATTTATCCCGACAGGCCCACAGAGAAGTGTTTGAGTACCTGATAGAAGATTTTAAGACCTACAAACCACTGCTGTCCTCCATAAAGAATGAGTACGAGATGATGCTGGCCTTTCAACGACAGCAGATCCGAGAGCTGGACCCTCTCAAAGTAAGTATACTGAGGATGTACCTTTACAAAATTACACCACACACTAAGGTCTAATTCTGTGATGATACAGATTTATAAACACCGTATAGTGACAAATTAGCAGGGTTTCACACTAACAATGGTCGTCCAGTCTGAGACTAGTAAATTTCAGCAAAGACTAGTGAATCACCTTACTAAACAAAGGACTTAATTTGATAGATTATATAAAATGAGAATATTCCTTTTGAAAAAATATTGTTTAAAATACAGATACTGTTTATTACCAGGTACATGATAATTATCAACATTTTCCTTACACTTCACCATATCTTTATTGCTGTAGTTTTTTATGTCCCCTTCAGTCAATTACTTTGGACATTTTGTGCAGGAGATTTTTCCTTAAGGAAATCTTGGTCTATTGGGATAGTTATTTTTGATGTAGGACCAATAAATAGTCCTGTTGACTACCAAGCAAAAGTAGTTAGTGTCTAATCCTGACTTAGTACAGAATACTTCAAACCATTTATACCTAAATCCAAGTTTACTTCATGCTGTTCTTAGTTGGTGAAGTGAAATGAGATTTTCAAGTTTGATTTTATGAGTTACAGTTGTTGTGTCACATGGTGTGTCACATGATGACATTATGACACCATGAGTATGGTAACCAAAGCATTTCAATTTTTTTATTTCAGCAAATGTTGGTGACGGTGTCGGAGCAGTGTGACCAGAAAATAATGGCCATTAGGGAGGAGGAGAAACAAGGTATGGCTGCGACTTCAGCTCATTAACAAATCGTTTAAATCAGTCAAACATCAATGATATGTCCTCCCAGATCAGTGTGTGTGTGACACAGCAGAACTGTGAATAGATTAAGTCAAACCTGCTCAGGTGACCAACTGTACTAAATGACCACCTGTCTTCAGTGACCATATTTTTACTGGTCCCCTGTGCAGTCACTTTAGACAGGTTTCACTGTAAAATGATTGATGCCATTGATCACTGTAGATTGATATCAAATTACATTTGACACCCACACATCATGATAATTCCAAATTTAACATTACTTTATGGCAATACATTTCTGACAATTTTGTCTGATATAACTTTCAGCAAGGAATTAACATGATTGTTGGTATACACTGGAGACCACCATGTTGTTGTTAATTGTGTAAATAACTTTAAAATGTTATAGTATAGCTATTTGTACATCATCATTCCAGAGATCAGAGATCTGAAGATGGAGAACAGACGCCTGATGGATGTGATACAACTGATGAACAACAAGCAGAAGGACCTGATGACACAGGTCGCCAAGCTACAGGAAGATCTGGCCACCGAGTACCATCGGTACCGCGACGAGTGTGACGCACGCAAACAATTGGTGTCGGACATCAACGACCTGCGCTACCAACAGGATGACTACATGATGTCGAAACAGTCGGCTTCAGACGAGGCACAGGACGACCCCATGACACTCAAAATAGCTCTCAAGTAAGTCACCGAAGTTGTTGAACCATGTTAACCTGAGAAAAATGTGAATACTTCTTCAATTTATAGCAAGATATGTGATTGACAACAGTTCCAGGGTTTAACTGTGATAAGACCAGGGTTTAACTGTGATAAGTATGAATGAGCAATACAAATGTATGGGGTTATGTCTCTGACAGCTGTTTAGACAAAGAAGTGATTATTACTGAAAAAAATGTCAGTAACTTTATTATTAATAATTGTAAAATGTCAGTGTTGCTGCATGTTACAAGTGTCAACCTTTAACTTTTATCTGTGAGATTAAATCATCAAATTCTAAGTGTAAAGCATTCTTATTTCTGTTCAGGAAAGCCCGGGAGGATGAGAAAGCCGCCACAGAGCGACTCAACAACATGGTGGCCAATTACGGTGATGTCATACCCAGGAGGGACTTCGAACTCATAGAAGCTAAATACAATGTAAGATTTTGTATTCAAATGTTGTGCAATCTTATCTGAAATATCAGTTTCTGAAACAATCCACACAGATTGGTGTAAAGTTGTTTCAAGTTTAAATATGCTTAAATTATTATACCCCCACAGCGAAACGTTGGTATGGGAGGTACACTGGAATCAGTTGTTCATCTGTCTGTCCAATCATAGAAAATGTTTCTGTTCTTCTGATTCAAAACTACAAGACTTGTTCTGCAGTTCATCAGGTAGTTGTACTTCAACTAATTTTGACAGATTTATTGTCCTTTTCTGTACTTATTCATTTTCACTATTTGCCAGGAAAACTCCTAAACTCATAGTCCAATATTGATGCAACTTAAAACTATTCAATGTCAGTTAAATGAAATTTCCCATGCACATGTAAGAACAATACATAAATTATTAAGACCTTTAATTTCTTTTTGGTCTTTCTTTGAAAACTACAGGTATACATCTGACACTATCTTTTATAGGGCTGTCAGTGTCACAATATATTGGAAAGCAGGTATATCACAATACATGGGTATATTGTATTGTACCACAATACAGAGATGAAATATCACAATATTTTTTTAAAAGCTTATTTTTATGTAGCTATCTCATTCTGCTTAGTGTTTTAATTTTGCAAATTACTACAAATTCTAACAGATATATATATATGCCAATAAGCATAAAATAGACTTTTAATAGTGGGGGGAATTAGTTCAAATTTTGTAACGATGGGTGGTTTGACAAAAATCTTAAATCTATGTGATCCATATCATATATGATTAAGTTTGATAACATTCTGACAACAACTTATTATAAAATCGAGCACATCTTTCCTATGACAATATATCGGGATACGTATCACAATATATTCATTCTGTATTGCAATATATCGTGATACACTCTTTGCGTATTGTGACACCCCTTATCTTTTGGGACATTCATGCTTTTCTTCTAATCTAAGTACACCATGTCCAGAATACTGCCCATAAAACCTTTAACAGACTTTTATGAAACTTGCTACACATTGTTATTACTTAATATAATTATATATTGTAACTGAGTTCATGTCTTGAAGGTTGAATTTGTTTTCAAATTGATGTGTGTCTTTTAATTAATGTTATATATTTAGAATACATTTTAAAGCTCTAAGAAAAGCTACCACACAATGGTGAATTTTACACTGGGACTTAATGAGACATTCCTTTATTCGTAGCAACTCCAGGAACTCTACACCACAGCCCAGGATGATTTCCTCAAACTACAGAAGGAGCATGAGTAAGTTTCATATCAGTGTTCAGGAGGCCTCACCTTAAATTCACGTCTTGTCAAATATGCAAAATATTACTCACTTAAATATATGGTACGTATGTATCTCTGTCTAAATAAAACTTACAAAAAAACCCAACCCATCATAATTTCTAATCATATTTTAAATTAAAAAACTGCTACAAAGTTTCATATTGAAAACAAATATACTGATATAGTGTGAAGCCTTAAGATGTATTTTCACATAATTGAAATATTACTGGACATTTTCCTGCAATATTTTTGGTGATATCGGGACTGATGAGAGATGTGTTGTGTTGCAGTGCCTTGTTGGATGTCAACAAGACCGTGACGAAGCAGAGAGATGAGTACTACATGGAGTGTGAGACACTGAAGCGCAGCTCCACCCCCAGGTATTTATACACTCTATCGTGGGTAAATCGTATCTCGATATGGTTGCAGTGTATCCCTCTGATGAGTTGGTATAGTATGGGTAAAAATCTGTCTACATTTCAGGTAAAATCTTTCTATTTAAGATAGTATGGTACATGGTACATATTGAATTACATAGAGTATATAGCAGGAAAAACGGTGCATCAAGATAACATGATAATAACCGAAAAGTGACATTAAGCGACGTGATATTGAGTGAAATGTACTGTACCTCTAAGTTAGTATGGTATGGGGATCAGTTCTCAAAATAGCATGGGTTAATTTCATCCTCTGTCTTGGTAAATCCCAACTGAGTAAGTTTGAGACAGGATAAATCCTTCTGAATCAGTGTGTTATGGGTGATCTGTCTTGAGCCAGTGCAGTAAGGTAATGAGTAGCTGGCAATAAAATTGCTGTAAAGCAGATCTAGACTAGACACTGATTCTTGATAAATTGTTTAGTAGTACAATGTACCTTTGTACAATGACTTGATTGCAATTACAGGTATGTTGTTATTTAATATTATGGTATTGCAGACAATCTGATAACTAAGATAAGGAGACCAAGTAAAGTGTTCTTGTTTTCATACCTATACATGCCGGCACATTTTGTAGACCTGACTGGGACAAGTGTGCTGACCACGTCCAGGGCGGGATGGCCAGGTGGCAGGAGTTGTCCAAGGGCAAGAGGAGCAACGAATTGGTCGATGTCCTTATCGCTGAGATCGCGGCGGGAGGAGCCGGGGATTTGGGAGGAGCTGAATACTTTGATGGCCAGGTAGGTCAACCTTTACAAATCAGGCATCAGTTTCGGCCATCACACTATCGGTACATTTGATACAACTTTATAAAATAAAAACATATTTATACATGAAGTCAAGTCAAATATAGCCAGTCAACAGAACTTACGATTTACGGCTAGACTGATAACTCTCTTGTCCTTTGTAGGGTACTGGTCCAACTGTGCCGAAGTACCTGCAAGTGGAAGGCCCTGTCCGCAACCGACGACTTGGCAAGCGGGACTGTTCGATGCTCATCAGAGACATCTGGAGGGAAAAGGTGGCACATGATGCAGAGGTAAGTTCCCAGATGTTATACTTGTTAAATTTGCAACATTATAAAGCACAGTATGTAAATTACATAAAGTTGTACATTTGTTCAATTGTAAGGGAAAAATAGTGGTTGCCATCTTACAGAATAGGGAATACTGATCATTTTCAGTCATGAGTTATTACGTTTTGTGTTGTGATCAAGCGTATTGCGATGTACTTACAGAGAACTGATGGAAAGCGAGAGGCCATGAGTGAATTCATGGACCTGTATCTCGAGCGCAGATTCCCTATGCCTCAGATGAAGATTGAATGGGGATACAACCTCCAGGATGCTTGTGAGAGATATGCACATGATGAACTCATTGGCCTTTTCTGGGGAGTCCTCACCTACAACGTGAGTCTTAAACACTATGTTATCTTAATTGTATCCCTAAGAAATGTGATTAGAATTGTATAACTGTATTTTATTTGTAAATCATAACATTACAAAGCTTTTAAGCTTATCACATTCCTGAACAATGCAGAGATGCCTCTACAAGAAATGTAAGGATCTGCTGACAGTTTTGTACAAAGTGTGTGATTTATTTCATAGAGATGAGATGACTGTATCAGAAGCAAACAATGATCACCTGACACGAGTTGACCAATCATGTTGCTTGTAACATTTCAGATTGATGAGGAGATATACCATGACCAAATGAACAAGGTAGAACAACTGTTGAACCACCTGACCAATGCAGACATGGAGAAGGGCAACCAGGAGAAGGTCAGTAAGGATGAGCTGCGCCAGGGCCTGCGGGCCACCTTCCCCGGCATGGAGGACGAGACACTTATGGTCGCCATGAAGGCAGCAGACGTGGAACTAGACTCCAAGGAAGAGGACATTGAATACAAGGAACTCTTTAAGGAGGTAAGGATGTTAAGCATTGATCAGGGAAGTAGAAATGTATAGGACTGATCAGGGTGATGAAGATCTAAGTATGTAATGACTGATCTTAAAACATTTTGCAAAAGTGATATGTAAATACCAAACAGTCTCTGAACATTCTGTTACCATAGAACTGATGTCTAAATGTATTGAGTTAATGCAAGAAAGATGTCTAAAATTAATTATTTTTTTGTGGAAGGAAAATTATAGGAAAAACCGCACTCAAGTTAAAAAAATAGGTGCTGAATTGAAAAAACTTGAAAATTAAGTTTTGATTTATTTTTGTAAAACAATCGTGGTTTATCAGAATCTGTTCTGGTCTATTCAATCTGAAATTTGAAGTTATTGTCTATGGCTATCATTAGTTATTTTCCCACACCGCTGGTCAGTGTGATAAGTCCTTAAGTATTCAACTGTCTAAGGTTCGAAGATATCTACTGTTTATGTCACTTAACTTCAATGTTTGTTTCCCCACAGGATGATGAAGGTAGGACTGGACCATTCCTGGAGGAAGTCATGAAGTTCATCAAACAAGAACGACTCACATATGTCGAGGATATTAAACAACAGCTAGCAGGCATCAAGTAAGTGCTCTGTAAAAATAACCTGCTAGAAATATACAGCTGATGTAGAAATAAATAACAGCTAGCAGGCATCAAGTAGGTCCTCTGTAGAAATAAGTAGCTAGAAATATATCATGAAGTTCATCAAACAAGAACGACTCACATATGTCGATGATATTAAACAACAGCTAGCAGGCATCAAGTAATGTTTCTGTAGAAATAAGCTGCTAGAAATATACAGTTGATGTAGAAAAAAGCAACAGCTAGCAGGCAGCAAGTAAGTCTTCTGTAGAAATAAGTAGCTAAAACTATACAGCTGATGTAGAAATAAATAACAGCTAGCAGGCATCAAGTAGGTCCTCTGTAGAAATAAGTAGCTAGAAATATACAGCTGATGCAGAAATAAACAACAGCTAGCAGGCATCAAATAAGTCTTCTGTAGAAATAATTAGCTAGAAATATACAGCTGATGTAGAAATAAACAGCAGCTAGCAGGCATCAAGTAAGTCTTCTGTAGGAATAAGTAGCTAGAAATATATAGCTGATGTGGAAATAAACAACAGCTAGCAGGCATCAAATAAGTCTTCTGTAGAAATAATTAGCTAGAAATATACAGCTGATGTAGAAATAAACAGCAGCTAGCAGGCATCAAGTAAGTCTTCTGTAGACATAAGTAGCTAGAAATATACAGCTGATGCAGAAATAAACAACAGCTAGCAGGCATCAAATAAGTCTTCTGTAGAAATAATTAGCTAGAAATATATAGCTGATGTAGAAATAAGCAACAGCTAGCAGGCATCAAGTAAGTCTTTTGTAGAAATAAGTAGCTAGAAATATACAGCTGCTGTAGAAATAAACAACAGCTAGCAGGCCTCAAGTAAGTCTTCTGTAGAAATAAGTCGCTAGAAATATACAGCTGATGTAGAAAAAAACAACAGCTAGCAGGCATCAAGTAATGTTTCTGTAGAAATAAGCTGCTAGAAATATACAGCTGATGAAGAAAAAAGCAACAGCTAGCAGTCATCAAGTAAGTCTTCTGTAGAAATAAGCTGCTAGAAATATACAGCCGATGTAGAAAAAAGCAACAGCTAGCAGGCAGCAAGTAAGTCTTCTGTAGAAATAAGTAGCAAAAAATATACAGCTGATGTAGAAATAAACAGCAGCTAGCAGGCATCAAGTAAGTCTTCTGTAGAAATAAGAAGCTAGAAATATACAGCTGATGTAGAAATAAATAACAGCTAGCAGGCATCAAGTAAGTCCTCTGTAGAAATAAGCTGCTAGAAATATACAGCTGACGAAGAAAAAAGCAACAGCTAGCAGGCATCAAGTAAGTCTTCTGTAGAAATAAGCTGCTAGAAATATACAGCCGATGTAGAAAAAAGCAACAGCTAGCAGGCATCAAGTAAGTCTTCTGTAGAAATAAGTAGCTAGAATTATACAGCTGATGTAGAAATAAACAACAGATAGCAGGCATCAAGTAAGTCTTCGGAAGAAATAAGTAGCTAGAAATATACAGCTAATGTAGAAATAAACAACAGCTAGCAGGCCTCAAGTAAGTCTTCTGTAGAAATAAGTCGCTAGAAATATACAGCTGATGTAGAAAAAAACAACAGCTAGCAGGCATCAAGTAAGTGCTCTGTAAAAATAATCTGCTAGAAATATACAGCTGATGTAGAAATAAATAACAGCTAGCAGGCATCAAGTAAGTCCTCTGTAGAAATAAGTAGCTAGAAATATACAGCTGATGCAGAAATAAACAACAGCTAGCAGGCATCAAGGAAGTGCTCTGTAAAAATAAGCTGCTAGAAATATACAGCTGACGAAGAAAAAAGCAACAGCTAGCAGGCATCAAGTAAGCCTTCTGTAGAAATAAGTAGCTAAAACTATACAGCTGATGTAGAAATAAACAACAGATAGCAGGCATCAAGTAAGTCTTCTGTAGGAATAAGTAGCTAGAAATATATAGCTGATGTGGAAATAAACAACAGCTAGCAGGCATCAAATAAGTCTTCTGTAGAAATAATTAGCTAGAAATATATAGCTGATGTAGAAATAAACAACAGCTAGCAGGCCTCAAGTAAGTCTTCTGTAGAAATAAGTCGCTAGAAATATACAGCTGATGTAGAAAAAACCAACAGCTAGCAGGCATCAAGTAAGTCTTCTGTAGACATAAGTAGCTAGAAATATACAGCTGATGCAGAAATAAACAACAGCTAGCAGGCATCAAATAAGTCTTCTGTAGAAATAATTAGCTAGAAATATATAGCTGATGTAGAAATAAACAACAGATAGCAGGCATCAAGTAAGTCTTCTGTAGAAATAAGTAGCTAGAAATATACAGCTGTTATGATATATATATATATGTATAAACAACACATACAAATAAAGAGGTGTTACAGAAATAACAGCTCATGGACATCAACTAAGTCCACTGTAGAAATAAACAGCTGTTGAAGAAATAAACCAAAGCTAGACAACATCGTATAAGTCTACTGCAGAAATTCAGTAGAGCTTCTAAGTTGTATGTTTTTTTGAAAGACTGTATATATTTTTCACATAATGCTTTAGTCTTGGTTCTTTTTGATTAAGCTAAGGTGTTGGCAGTCAGTTAATGGAAAAACTCAGCTGTAATAGGCATAATGGCAACCTTTCATAAAGCCCAACATAATGGCTACATGTACGTGTGATTTCAAATTAAAAATTGTAAATAAACTGATGTTGAAATATCCTGATTCCATTCTGACAGTAATGTGACTGTGGACGACCTGAAGAGAGCACTAAGTCTGGCCGACCCTGAAATAGACAATACCCTCATGGACAAATATCTGGCATGGGCATTTGACACAACTGCAGAAAAATTCAATGAAGTCGAACCACTTGAACAGTCAAAACTTGTGGAAAGACTACGGAATGGTTGTTTGCACAGAGCTGGTAAAAAGATGTGATTCACGTTTGGATGGTATAGCTGTGTCTAGGAGCTGGCCATACCTGTCCACCTTGGTCTAAGCTTGTTTCTGTACTAAGTTCATTTATGGAATTTTCCTGAGAAGAAAAAAAGTGCTGTCAAGGTGCAAAATTAGAACAAAAGAAATAGTTTTAAAACAATTGCAAACATTGTATAAGGACATTTAAGGAGGAGAATTGAAATTGAAGTGTGTAATCATAATTATAGATCATCCTGTCGATGGGCTAAAATGTTTTGCCCGATGAAATAGGTTTGAAATATACAGAGCAGAAATTTTAACAAGAACACTTTTTATTGCCTTGAAAAATCACAAAAGTATATGGCAAAATATAACAATCTACTGCAAACTTCATTTTTGCCAAAAACATCTTTGCACAAATTTACCAAAAGATGAACTATGTGAAATAAATATTTTTGAAAGTTTATTTGTTCTTCAAAACATTTGGAACAGTAAAACTATGATTAAAAACTTAATTTTTATATTCATCCAATGTGTGAAACTAGAGAATTTCTTAGTACATTTACTCAGGTTTTATATTGCAACACCATGTAATTGATGCTAATCATCTGCCAGGATAGAATAACAAATCCTCTCACAATTAGGTGTACATGTTGATCTGTTTCTGTGATAATGTATTCTCCTCATGTGCAATCGTGTCTTCATCTGTCCATGTAGGTTACACATTCCTGTGACCTGTTAATTTGTCACTCTCCTTTGACTTTAATATCTTAAAATTTAAAATATAATGATTGCATACCTGGGCAATGTAAGTCAATTAACCATACAATATATTAGAAAATACATTCAAAAGACAACTAGCAGCCCTGCTTGTTACATGTTCATTAAATTTAGGTATAAATTAAAAAAAAAAAACTGAATCTTGCTTGGATGGTTAGGGCTCTCTTTTATATTGCTATGAATTCCCCTTCAAGAGTTATCTCCCTTTTAATGTGAATACTCTGTATATTAAAAACTATTCAGAGATGACAAAATGTTAAGTATTGTTGTTAGTGTCATCTTGTCAAAATCTGTTTGATTCAGTCGATAAATGTGGCCATGTCAAAGTTTATAATTCTGCCAACATTTTTTTTTCTTTTTGAATAATGTATATTTTTTTGTCAAACGACCATACCACGTTACTTTTTATGCACCCTGCCCATACTGTCTGTGATAACTGTACATAGCTGTATGAATATCTCATATTCAGCATTATTGTACATATATATATATCTGCACCTGTATACAATGTACACTATATATAAACTATTGTACTATTATTGTATGCCAGTGTGTTACATTAAGGACTATACAGTGAGCTTCACTGTTGTATGAAAGCGAGTGAGTGTGATATATGAGGGAGGACTGATGTTTCTTTGTATTGTCATCAAAGAAAAATTATCCTGCTGAAATAAAATGTTTACAATTGATCATACCACTGTGGCTCAAGTTATACTTGTTCCCAACACATTACACAGTTGATCCTCTTTCTATGCTTGACATTGTCCATTATCTAAACATGTTTTACTTTAACCCTTTCACCACTGTAGACCATAATGGACTCATCTGTATCAATGCATGGTAGAGTCTACTAAAGTTGCATAGGGGTGAAAGGGTTAATTATTTCAATTTCTAATGATAAATATTGGACCCTTTTTGGTGAAACTTGGCATAATGTATCCAGGTATACAATACTTATATAATGCCCCTGAAGGACCTAAACAGTTTTAGATTAAAATAAGCAAAGGGTCAAGAAATAAACTTTCACAAAAGCAGCAAATCGCTGCTAAAGAATTGCACAGCAATAATGTACCCTACTGAAGTACATTGTAATTTAAACATATCAAAGAAGATTTCTATCGGATAAAAACACTAAGTGGTTCAAAAATTGTTGTTCTGACAAGTTCAAGAATGAGGTAACACAATCCCATACAGTGACTTTGACCTTGGTAGAAGGTTAGACTGGTATGGTGTCTAGTGATGGAACATCTGTATAGTCTTTTCTTGCATACTTTCGCCGAGATATCCGCAATTCTGGCGGTGCTGGAAAATTCTATCCGACCCAAAGGTCTGGATTGCTTACACGCGCAGGCTGACGGGGAAATTATAGTAACCTTTTGGGGTCATTTTATGACGTTTTGGGGTCAGTCAGGGTCATTGACAATTGCCATCCGTGCTGCATATGCAAATGAGAAATGTGCGGACAGTTTACAACTCTACTAGAAAAGCAGCTGTTTTTACCGGTTTTAGGTAAAAAGCAAGAAATAGAATCCATCCCTGATGTGTAGTATGGATAAGGTTATTCAAACTCAAGGGATAAAAAATTGAGCAAAAGACCCTTGGCAAAGTCTCGGGTCTCCTGCTCAATATTTTATCCCTTGGGTTTGAATAACCTTATCCATACCTCACATCAGCACAATCGGTTCCTCCTCTAATGGATTGTAGCTGAAAAGAAACAACATGGCCAGGATACCAATATGTGTCCCCAGAAGGACAGCTGATTGGACTCAACCTGCTCCCCAACCTAACCTTCCATTTCCATCACAGGGTAATGAAATATACCACAATGTAAACTACACACTAATTCCCAATTCAAAGTGGATACGAAACGACAACCTCAAGAACTGTGCAGATATTAAGACACGTAGTGAATTCCCCTCCAAAACCTTTGTTAAAATTGTTATATTTGAAATAGACAGCTCTGGTCAGTTGTCTGTGATAGTACATTTTACAGGTGCGGGTTCGATTCCCACCATCGGAAAGAAAGATGTGCCGGATCTCTAAACAGATCACAGTGGTATCGTATAATACATGCACGTTTCTGGTTTGATAAAAAAAAAAACCTTCATTAAACTGTATTTCTGTCATATTTCTCACAAGTGGTCATTTTTTACGTTATGGAAAAACATATTCAAGTTAATCCTTAATTAACAGTAACAAGTAACTGACATTTGCCCAAAACAATCGACAATGTCGCTTTGTTCTTCTCTGACTGATTTCGTAATTAGTGCAAAATTTAACTTTAAACACCGACGGAAGTAAAATACCGTGGATCATAAACGTATAAAACTAGTATGTATATATGTTCTGTTTTTTTCTTCTGTTTTTCGTTTGTTTGTTTATTCCTAGTAGAAACATAACACTAAGTTATTTGAAAAGCAAATCTAAAATAGATCGAGAGGTTCTGCGTATCATGTGTTTTTTGTATTTGTCCAGCACCAGAGGTCAGACGGACCCACAGTGACTGTCTTAAGATCGATAGTTGATTTATATAGACCTAAAAAATATATATGAACAAATGAAAAAGAAAATATCAGTATCAAGTTTCTTTTCGGGTCTATCTAGACAAAAAAAGTGGATTTACATAAAACTTTTAGAGTCGGGATGAAGATATTGAGTTATCTCCCTTAGTCTTCTGCGACTGCTGCCGAAATTCGGCGCTGAAATTCACGTGCGACGTAAGTCTCGTGTATGAGGACCCAGTGAGGACCCGTAAGTGGCTGAGGTAAATGTTTGTAAGGTTCTTCCTCACTATACCGTCTAGATGAGGAGCACTAAACCTCAGTTTTTCAAATCTCTAGGAAGTATTGGAGAGGGAGACGTACAGGACTGGGAGGTGTCAAGATTAGTTTGATGGCGTCTAACTTAGCCTTTATTGTATATGACCACGGACTTATTCTTATTCCGTGATCTGACATAATATTCTAGCATTACGGTGACTTTTTTGCTCAGTAAATAACATGTTTTCTCTTTTTATGGAAGCCACATTCACGTGTATATTTGTGGTCAAATGTCAATGTCATCAGCTAATATCATGCATGACTTGCAGCAAGGTAAGAGACCAATTGTCGGGTTGTCCTTGGACTTAGAGATGGCATATCAATTTTTTGTGTATTATCTGGCAATTATTTAATAGCTTAGAGTTAATTGCAAATAAAATATCTGTACTGTACTGTTGATTATATTCCTAAATATAGTTCTCTCTCCTAAGATTGGGAACTTATATAATGAACCTCTATTTTTTTTGAAGATTGAATTAGGATCAGTCCATGCGTGTACCGTCACGAAAGCAGAATTCCCAAAATATCGTCACAGACCATTGTCATTAGGTTTTAGAAAGATCAGGTGAACGTTTTTTTTGTATATTTGTCTCCTTTTGTCATACAGACAGCCCTACCAATGCCAAAATGACAGATTTTACATTACTGTACAAATTAATATCCGAGGGAGTTTCTTCTACAGTATGTTTATTGGCAACCCTTTGAATCCTTTTATTTAGAAGAAGCTGACCTATTTACTTGATGCCAAGTCCTGGTGAGTCGACTGCCTGCATGATCACATGGGTTTTCTCGGAGTATTCCTGTTTCCTCCCAAACATTAAGACCCTCTGTATGCTTCCTTCCAGGCCAACAAGAATGATTAATATAAGTTGGATATTTAAAGCTTGTTTTGTAATTGTGAGTGATAATTAAGGCCCCTTCAACTTCAACCGGGGCCTCTTGTTTATTTTTCCTCTGAAAGGAAACTCATTGTTTATCGGTAATGGTATTGGTTTGGCTTCAGTACAGACTCTTGGGATGGAGGAACCATTCACTGTACATACAGACCAATAGTTTACACTGCCAGTCTAGCTTCAGTATGTATCGAGATATCTATTGGGTGAATTAACAAATAAGTCAGAGTTGTTCGTATATTGTTCACATGTGTTTTTGGGTACTAGATGACATAGATTGGTTTTGAAATAAACAGCAATATAAAAAAATATAAAAAATATATAAAAAAAATATAAAAAATATATAAAAAAAATATAAAAAAAATGGAAGATCTATGACTATAAACATGTATTTAAGCTTGATCAATAAAGAATGTCTATCATTATCAAAAGAAAAATTAAAATTAGGACTATTTTTCAGCAGACTGCAACCATACTGATGTTTAGATATAATATATATAACGTCCTGCACATACATTGTATATAAAGTTAAATAAGTCATATGATAAAAGAATCGCAAAGTCTTTCTCTCTGAATTATTCAAATTTTCAAAATAATTTAATAAAATCATGATGAAAGAAAACTTGTTTGAAATCCTCTATTATGCAACTCCCCGGAGTCTACAGTAGTATATATATACAAGTATGCTCCCGTCTGTAATGACTTATCATAAGGTAATGCATGCAGTAGTGTTTGTGATTGGTTGAAATATGTCAATTGGTACTAGACCTCATAATCTGAATAATAGACATGGCCATAGCAGATAGTGCTTCAATATAGTAGCTATACATGCAGATAAATAGCAATATTGAAGATTTGCAGGTACAGGGAACACCGTGTATTAACAAAGAGTCTTTGTTAAAGGTCTTGAACTCTTGCATATTCCACAGAAAATTGAGATTTATGTCATTTCTCGAAGAAATTTTAATTATTCTGAGCTCACTAAAAGCTGGCAAAAACAAAGATATGTTTAAAAAATCTCATAATATATAAGTTGTGTGTAATTATAAGGAACTAGATGTTTTCAAAAATATATAGAAGGTCCATGATGACATGCAGTTATTATCTAATTAATTTGAAACTTTTCTTAATGTTTGATGTGTTCCTTTTAACCGGATCAGGAACATCGGCTGTATTCGGCAGTTTCTAACTGTAGATGCATGCAAGATTTTTGTGCATTCACTTGTTACCTCTCGGTTGGATTATGGTAACGCCCTGCTCTGTGGTAAATCTGACAAACTAACTAGTCGTCTGCAGAGGGTCCAGAACACTGCAGCATGGCTAGTTACTCGTACTCGAAAGAGAGAGCACATCACACCTGCGCTTTATTCGTTGCACTGGTTACCTGTACAGGTTGCAGTACAAAATTCCGGTATACACATACAAGGCACTGAATGGAACAGCTCTTCAGTACCTACAGGAGCTTGTTACCCTGTATCAGCCGTCAAGATCACTGCGGTCGGAGTCAGAATCTTTGTTGTGTGTCCCAAAATCTCGTACTGTGACCTACGGAAACAGATGCTTTGGGAGGGTTTCGGCTACGTTGTGGAATAGCTTACCATCTGCTATTAGGAAGTCAAATACCCTGGCCAAGTTCAAGAGGGACATAAAAACTCACCTCTTCACATCTGCATTTTAGAATCTTTGCAAAGACGTCATGTAAATACCACCCTTTTATTTGTTCAATTATGTGCACATTGCTTGTTAAATGTATGAAAGTGATTGCAAGCCTTTGTTGTTTGTTTTCACAATTATAACCATTTCTAGTATCCATATGTTGTAAAGTGCCTTAGAGTAATTTTACAAATTATATAGGGCGCTATATAAATGTTGTATATTATTATTATTATTATTTTGATAGCAACTCATTTGTGAAATATGATTAAAAGTTAAAGGGTTTTACTTTTTAGGTACATTGGGCGAGTCTGTTTTACATATATATAT